CCCCCCCACCCCAACCCAACCCAAAAAAAACATTCAAATGCCTCCCCCTGCCTAACTGTTCTACAGCAATCTCAACTATGTTTAGATGCACATTGTGACACTGCTCGGCAAAGGTATTGCACAATGTCAAAATATGTCATCCTTGAATGAAAAGTCAAACTTCATCTACATGACTCCATTTTCCTGATCTAACATTCTTTTTCAACCTAATCAATCAGGTTGATCCTCCATGACAGCTCATCATATATTAAGCTTCAGTTATCTCCCTCATGATTCAAATTCCATAGGCAACAAAAGGCCTATAAACGCGTGATTTCAGATATCTTACCACTTTGTAAAGTATCCTGTACAAGGCAAAGCATATAAGATATAATTTCTGTTCTTTTAAAAGAATTACGGTGAAATCCATGTTTCCTATACATATACGTCAAAGGTGTGGCAAATACAACCAAGACCATTATTTCCTTAGCCCAAATAACAAGGCTGTCCTAACCAAATTAAAACAGTCTATCCTAGGATCCTGTGAGCAAAGACTTTACCAACAACAAAACTTGATGAGCATACATATTGTAACCACATGCATGCAAATTCACTTTCTATGTTAAACAAAAAAAAACTTACAACAATGCCAGCAAATAGACAGATATACATGATAATAGCATAAAACTGGGTGAGTGTGTGGGTGTCACTTGTGATGGGTGGGACCTAGGGAAATTACCATGTTTGTTTTTAGTACTTGAACATAGCTAAAAGAAACTTTGCTAAATGTTCATGGATTTCTAACAACCCACTAAAAACCATGTTTTTCCATCACAAAAACAAAGCCTAGAAAAACCACGATAAACTTATGATGTAGAATCAACAGCACCGAAGCATTTTGATGGAGTTGAATTTTTCTCTCAGGTTTATTAATTGGGTTATGGGCATGTGTCGGTACTACAAAATTCTCTATATTATTAAAAGGTAGTGTGCATGGATATTTTCTAGGAAAAAGGAATTCAAGGCAAGGGGTTCCCCTCTCCCCCTACCTTTTTCTCATGTGCAAGGAATATTTGACTAGAAGCTTGAAGGATGCGCATTTGTGCAAGGGATTCATGTTTCATCCAAAGTGATTTTTTTCTTTTTCTTTCTTTCTTTTTTTTTTGGAGGGCGGGGCGGTTATGAAATTATCAAATTTGGTCTTTGTTGATGACCTTCGCTTTGCTAGAGCTGATTTGGAATCAATGGAAGCCTTACAGAGAAAACTGGATCATTTCTCCTAGCTTCAGGGCTCCATATCAATCCTAATATGAGTAATGTGATTCTAGCAGGGGTGGATGATGCTGTTAGAAAACAAATTGTGGGTTTCTTGGGGTATGAAGAGGGATTACTTCCAGTTAGATACTTGGAGGTACATCTTTCTGCCACTCGAATTTCCCATTCCTTATGTCAGGATCTCCTTTCTAAAGTTACATCAAATGTTAGAGCTTGGGGTGCTTATAAACTATCCTATGCCGGGAGAGTTGAGATGGTGAGATCTGTGCTATTTAGCTTGTATGTGTTCTGCACTGGTGTGTATATGCTTCCGATGAAGACTTTGAGGAAAACTGATCAAATATGTGCTTACTTTATATAGGGAAAAAAGGAAGGCGAACATAAAATCCATTTGATTTCTTGGGTGTTCACCTAAGAATCAAGGTGGCCTGGGCAATTACCATGTTTGTTTTTAGTACTTGAACATAGCTAAAAGAAACTTTGCTAAATGTTCATGGATTTCTAACAACCCACTAAAAACCATGTTTTTCCATCACAAAAACAAAGCCTAGAAAAACCACGATAAACTTATGATGTAGAATCAACAGCTAAAAGAAGGATAACTTATGGATTAAATGGATCCATAAGCAATACTTAAAGCATTCTACTTTATGGAATGTGCAAGCGAGGGTGAATGAACCTTGGTTTTGGAGGAAAGTTTTGTAAGTGAGAGACTGGTTGCTATTGCATAAGCCTTCATTTGATCAGTTATTGCAGTAGGTAAAAGGATGAAAGCATCAAGGTAAAATTAAACTGTTTATGTCTTATAAAGATCTCGTTTGCAATCAGGCTTCCATTTCATGGTCCCAAGTTGTGTGGAATCATGTGTCTTTGCCTAAGCACTGCTTTGTACTATGGTTGGTTTCTAATGGCAGGATCCTTACCCAGGATAGATTGGTGCATTTGGGTATCCTCCGACAAAGCTCTTGTGTTTTGTCGCTAGGCCCATGAGAGTATTAATCATCTTTATTTTCACTGTCCTTATTTTGCACTTGTTTGGAAGAAATTGATACTGTGGCTTAAGGTTGACAGGGATCCCTTGCAATGGACTGATGAGTTGGACTGGTTTTGCCATCTGAGAGGGAGGAAGAATTGTAAGCATAGAGTGTTTATTGCCTCTTTTGCTGCTACTGTCTAGTGTCTACTATGTTTGGAGAGAGAGGAATGCAGGAAGATTCAACGCGCCGCTTGTAGTCCAAATATTATTGTGAAGAGGATTAAAACTGATATCATAGCAAGCGTTCTTCATATGCAGCTACCTCTCCATGTGAAAAGAGTGGGTTCTTCAATTGTAGGATATAGTTTTGTTGTGTTAGCCTGTGGTATAAGTTGTAATTGAGAGTATTGTTCTGATTTTGTTATTAGATGAGGTATAGGTAATGTTTTGTAAGGAAGTCTTCAAATTTTGTATGAGGGGTATCCAGATATGCCTGGAGCTGTTTTGATGTACATAATTTCTCAGATGGTAAATAAAAATTTCAGTTACAAAACAAAGAGTCGACAGCCCCATATGGGTAAACAGTGAAGGAGTCAAGAAAAATAGGTACATGAGTAAGCTAAGTGAACCAAGTAGCCATTTGTAGAGGGGGAGTTCGCTAACTCAATCATTCTAGATGACTTCATAACACTGCCAAATAAGGGAGACGACATCATAATTATCCATCTTCTGCATAGTATTTATCAAGTTGTTTCATTTTTTTTGCAGAACTATGGACATTGCATTTAAGAAGAACTATGGACATAGTATTTTGGCTTCAAAGCAGCAAGGACATTGCATTTAAGAAGAACTATGGAGAGAAATTTTTTCAATGATTAAAAAGATGCAAGAAAGGGCAGAACACTTACACAAATTAAAGAAGTAGCCACCGCTATCATGGATAGGAGAGACAGTTAATGTCTTCTTCACTTGTCCTTCAAGACTGCAAACATTGGACATTAAATAAGGAGTGGAAAGAGAGAGGAAGGGACTATTAAAATATGATGAATAACCTTGATTTCATTGAAGGATCGTGAAGAAACTCGCAAGAATCTGTAGGACCTAGACTTATCAAACTCCCAACTTCAGTAGCTGACAAAGCAAACATCTGCAAGAGTTGCATATTAGTATATGAAGCATCATTTGTACAATATCCATCTTAATGAACAAATTAAAAAATATTAACTGAAATTATCTATTTTAGAATTAGAGATTCCATATCCATTCAGATATTAGAGCATACACATCAAACTATCCCCATGTATGTTTAGGGATTACACCAACCTATCATATACAACCCTTGTATGTTTAGGGATTACACCAACCCATCATATACAATCCAGATAAACCCTTTCATTGTCAGGTGAAGGTTGATGGTGTTGTCCTACTGCAAGTTAGCAAATTAACTGACGGGTTAAGATATGGAGCCGGGAATTCTTTGTTGGACCAAGAATGTCCTTCTTTTGGCCCAACACCATTTTTTATGGCTTTTGAATGGATACCCATGCAATGGAGTGCTTATCCTCCTCTTTATCCCTCAGTCAGATGCAATTACACACACACACATGCACATCTATAGGGTCGATCATGATGTTCACGATAAAACAAATATGGTTTAAAATTATGTACCAATTACTTTACAATTAAAGCAAAACCCCAAAAACACTATAGACTATCGTTTTTCATTTATAATTTTGCATATTGAGTCTTAATAATTTGATTTTTTTTCATTGTTTTTAAGATGATTTTTACGAATACTTATCATGTCTCATATTCATTGTTTTAAATATCTCCGACATGGCTAATATATCCCCGATATATCTTTTTATAGGGTTTGCCTCAACCAATATGGTCCCTAAATATCATTCACCGCTTTTTGGCTATTTTGGGCAATATATCCCTGATATGGCCAATATATTAGCCGATATGTTGACCGACATATCCTTTTATATGGCTTATTGCCAAACAATGTATAGCATTTGGTAATTTTTGGGCAAAGATATCATGATTTTCACATTATATCAAATGATATTTTGCCTTAAAAAATCAGACGAAATGTTGCAGCATTAATTGTACTTTTTATTTGTTTCACAAGATTGATTAGTGAGACTAAACATATATTATTTACATTTTGTGTGCTTAGATTTTATTAAATATGTTGATATTATATTTTAGTGCATTATACTATATATGCAAGTATTCTTTATGGCATACTGATATTTACCGCATATCCCCAATATTTCTCTGATATCCACAATCTTATATAAATTTTGGTCATCCGACATTTTCCCAATATCCGATATTTAAAACCTTGCTCATATCTCAATTCTATATGGTATAATTTAAGGTTTAATGGAGATCGAGTGGATTAGAATAGAAAATTTTGATCAGATTGGAAGTAATTATATCAAGTTGACCAATACTTTGTATCATACACCATTGGTAATGTATCAAATTGGATATGAAAAGGGCTTATTAAGTAGGAAAGAGCTCCGAATTGAGCTCCACAAGTTGTTTAACAACATGAGCAGTATTGAGCAATACCTGTAGAGGAGAGTGCGAGCCAAAAATTATTTAGTTTCACATTGGTTGTGTATTTTTAGTGCTCTATAGATGCTGAGATATTTGAAGGAGAGTATTTTGGTTTCATTATTAGCTTAATATATATTTTTTTTTTAAAAGATCAATTTGTAGATTTTGACAAGATACATACATACTTTGTTGTTCACAATCTTTCATTTTAGATTTATTTAATTAAGTTTGCCAATAATTTGATCAAAAAGTAGATGAGGTTGTTCTTCACTAAGCTTTTCTTTCTTCCAATAAAGAGATGCATATTTTGATGGCGTGCCTTGTTACTGCGGGTAAGACTACAATACTTTTACCCACTTCTACATTTTAAATGATCTACCAAATTTGCTAATTATATTTTTTGTTCCCAAGTTCATTGATCTAATTTTATTCCATTGCCGACTTAGCTAGAATTTGTACGTTAATAATTTATTACTTCATAATTGTGAGAATTTTCATAGTAAAATTAGATTTTTTTTTCCCTAGAAACCACCTTCAAAATACGGCCATTCTACAGAAATCATTAATTGTCAACTTCTACAATAAACCACCTTTAAACGATTTTTTGTTGCAACACCTAGAATGATTTTTACGTCAAGTTTTTTCAGTTTTACTGTAATAATTAGTTGTCAAATACAAGTATATTAGAGATATGATCCTTAATGGATGTTAGGTGGGATCAATTATAAAAATATCAACTGAAAAGTGGGCCCACGAGGTTGATTGCAACAAAAAAAAACTCTTTAAAGGTTATTTATGTGTAAATTGAAAATAAAAAATGGTTTCTATAGAATGACCATATTTTAAAGGTGGTTTCTATGAAAAGAACCCCTAAGTTTATTGTGCGCAAAGATTTATTACACCAAGATTTATTATTTTATGCACCCTCAACAATTGACATGGTGGTAGTGATACCGGTTCTAAATCTTAGTTATGCAACTTTCATTCAGGTTTTATATTAAATGTTGAGGATCCCATATTAAAGCAATTAATACTTTGTGAATAGACAAAGGTCAGTTTCTACCTTGCTCCATTTTATTCGTTATTATGCAACTTTCATTCACGTTGTATACTAGGAACTTCAAAAACTAGCCTCGAATCTTTATGAGTAAACAATCATAAGTGTCTACTTGGCTCCCTAAGTTGCATGGGTATGGGTACAAGTACAGATGCGGGTACGAATGCTGCTGGACATAACAAATTTGTAAAAGGTAGGACATAGCTAAGACACATGTTGTAATCATAGTTTCGAGCTAGATACGAATAATACCTTTTGAAATCATAATTTTCAACTGAATATAAGCAGAAAAAACCTCAACCATAGTTTCAAAAATGGATGTGTAATATAGGATATTGTCCAAGGAGTGTATGAGTGTTTAAATTAAAATATGGTATAATTGAGTACACTTCTAAATAAATGTATGCATATATTAAGATATGGTATAATTGAGTACACTTCTGAATAAATGTATGCATATATGACTAAGGAGTGTCCAATAAATGTCAGGTACGTAAATGGGTACAGCTCAGGTACGGATACTGCTTCATGATAGAAGTATCCAAGTAACAAAGTTGGCTCAATATTCGAGCATACTATAAATTACAATATTAATAAAATATAATTTGGTCTATACTCATCCAAATATATATGAATTCTTCTATATTTATGTTGTTATATGTTATCAATTTTATTTATGATGCCTCTATTATCAATTGAATCCATACGTTA